CAAAAAAAAATTTTTGTAAGTAATTGGCAAACATTTGTATGCCTATACACTGAGTCATAATGTGATAATGGACTGCATAGAAAAAAATATTTTAAATTATTATTAAATTATTATGAGAATAAATGAAAAATATATTATTTATATTAAAACCTGCTCAAAATTTTATTCAAACTACTATCATAATCGGGCGTAATAGCTTTAACGCATTAAGAATATTGTCAAAATTCAAAGTAAATTATCTTATAGATTAAGTCAGTTAAATAATATGTCATATATATTTTTTTAGTTCATTATAAGATGAGTTATCTTTTAATTTTTATCATTTCACCACTTAAAATCTTTCTGTGTTTAAATTCTAAATTAACAAAGTACGACAGGCTATACCCAATCAATCAACCTAAGTTTGCCAAAAGCAGTATCGGAATACCTATTGTCACTATCATAAATTATGATTAAATAACTGCGTTATTCGAAAGACCAATTTATCTTAGTCAAAAATATAATACATGTTTCATATCTAGGTTAATTTGATCAAAATATGATACCAAAGAAAGACATCTTTAAGCTTGTATAACAGTTAATGGCTATTTGAGAGACACGCTGTTAGTCTGTAAATTCCCTCTCATGTATTTCTAGAGAAATTGAGAAGATGGACAGGGAGAAGTAACTGTAGAACTTTACTCCTACAGCAAAGATAAAGAAGAGGAAGAAGCCGTGCAACAACTCTTCTGCAACTACTTTGTTCAAATTTCTTAGACAATTGTATTTTTATGACTCTTATAAAAGTGTCCGACATTAAGATTAGAAACACCCTGCACATTTTTAAGCCATCAAAATAATTTGCTAATCAACTAGCAGTTAGGGTAAGACCTTATTATATAGTTTTATCATAATGAACCGTTGAGTTTAAATGAATCAATTAGACTGACTGCCACAGCAACCCAACTCTCCCTTAATTTACCACGACAGCTAGAATTGGTTCTGTAATGATAAAACAAGTCTAAAAAATCAGTCCAAAGTGTCTATTCGGTAAGCGAAATCTGAATCTCACTCACATTCTTAAAGACTGCACAAACGTTTCTTACACTAGACTAGTTTCTTACAGGGATGAATTATCGAGCAATATCAAACTATGTTTCATTAGCAATTCTCTTTAGTCATATAGTCGGTGTTTGAGTAAATCGCAACAGAATACTTGCTATGTTTTATTAACAATTCTCTTTAGTCATATAAGTCGGTGTTTGAGTAAATCGCATGTCACTAGTAACTGAATACTAGCTATATCACTATTTAGGCTTATACAAATCCAGACCTTATCACGTGGGCTATTCTCTCTTTACTTACACTATTTCCAATATATGAACCCTTTATTCGTCCAATACTTGTATTTATATATGCGTACGGCTGGCTATAAACCATCCGCTCTTTCTCCAAAACTGTGATTTATGTAGCATTTATATAAAAAGAATGTTCTAGCAACTTAATGGCATGCTCCCTTCTTCTACTTGGCAACTACCTAACTACCAAAATTATTAATAATTTGTTAAAATTCTATTTAAAAAATTTTTCAGAAAAAACTATTCTCGCTCGATATTAGCTATTATATGATAGGATTATTGTTACAAAATCAATCTTAATTAATCTTTTTCTTTAATTTGAATTTTGTATATTTCGTATACGCATACAAAATAATCAATAAATATCTTCAAAATCACTTCTTAACAGTTTGTGCGATTTTTTTGACTTAATTAAAAATTCTTTTAACCTACAGAAATTTATCTAAACGAATAAATCAGTCAAAGCTTACGAATTTTACGACGTATAGGCCCTTTCGACCCGCTCCACTCTGTAAATAAATATTTTATCAGCGAAAACGTTTACGAATCGCATTTAATAAGCAAAACCAACAGAAAAACCAGTTGGAAAAAATCATAGAGATGACGTAGGCTGTTGTCATCATCAACGCGAATACAGTGGATCGTGCTGCGTTTGTTTTGCCGGTGAGAAGTGGTTCCAACCAAATTTGTAGAGAAACAAGCAACAAGAAACACACAAAAACAAGCTTAATTCCAATTATTCAGCTCAGCTAAGAAAAGTGGTTTTTACACAAAACAAAACAAAGCGAAATTAAAATAAACAAATTAGGAATTAAAACGTAAGAAAGAACAAAGCAAAGATAAAATAAATTTAACTGGTGATTAAATCAACATTATGCGCTATAAAATTTGGGAGTATATATCTATATATGTATGGATACCTAAAAAAAAGATATATAGTGTAAACTCTTTATAAAATTTAATTGGTATTAATAATTTCGAGAAAAGAACTTTGATTTTTAACATATCAACACTTCTAATAGACCTAGATATATTCAGAACTAGCCATCTGATAGTTCCAGTTAAGTGCATATATCAATTATGTGATATACAATACTTCTATTAAACCCTTTTAACTCATAATACGACTATTATAAAAAAGCTTAGATTTAAAAGTCGACTTAGATAGATCAACTGTCAAGTACCCAAGCTGCTCTAACAAACCGAGTTACAGTGATACGAGTATACCGATTTTATAATATCCAAATTTCTTTAATGAACCTAGTCACTGGAATCTACTGACATCTCAAAGTCAATGTTTCTATCATAAGACTAGTTATTAGTTGGCTAGATAAATTTCTCGAAGATGATATTCTTCTAATAAATACTATTAAACCTTGGTACGTAAACTATTTAAATAAAAAAAATGTTTCATTATCCAGGCTCTTATTATAAACGTAGTCACTCATTCAAGTTTTTACACCAAACCCAGTTATTAGTTACATATATAAATTTATCAACGTGGATATTCTTCTGAAAAATATTGTATACTATTTTAATAAGCTCCGTTACTGGGATACATAGAATTCTCTTTGCCCAAACTCTTTCAAAAACCCTAGCTACTAACCCAAGTTTCTATTACAAACCCATAATTATTTTCTGGGTAAATAGATTTCTCAACTAGAATAATCCTCTGAAGAACCTTGATAAACTCTCTTAATAAGCCTAGTTACAGGGATGAATTGAATTTTTAATACCTAAGCTTTTTAAAACGCTGTTACTAATTTACGTTTCTCAAAATTGCTCGATAAAGATATTCTGTAGAGTCTAGTAACCTTAGAGGAGCCTTCTTAGCAATCAAACTATTTTATTAAGCCCAGTTAGAAAAAAAGATCGATTTATTGATATCTTAGCTCTTTTAATAAACCTAATTACTGAGATCAACTAACGTCTCACAATTTAAACATTTACTATGGTGTAATCCTTTAAATTCTGTAGATTGAGCGCAATTTTTAGAATTGTACACTTGAATGGAACAGATACCAGTTATTAAGATGACTAAAATATTAGATAGAACTCAAGATTTATTGAAATCATCTTTTAAGAATCATCTTTTAATTACAAAGAAATTTTTATTGAACCATTGTGTATAGTTCTGGATTCTGGAAGTAATAAAAAGCAATCCTTGACATTACGGTTATATATATAGGAAAAGTACATAGTTTCTACTAAAATTTATTTAGTAGGGATATATATATAAATATAGGTCCTTGTGGATCAAGTCTAACAGGCACCAGAAATGCTGTCTTTATATTTTAAAACTACATTCAACTGATACATCCATTTATTTAAATTTTTTGATTGTATTTTTATTTACTATTATTAAAGTGATTTAAGTGCACACATTTAATGATCAATAGTTATACATTAAGACCGAAAAGTTTTCGGAAATTCTCATTTAAAATTCGCGCGCTGTATATTTTTCGATATTTTAAGTTTATGTAGTTTGGCAGCACTTTCCTTAATTACTATGCCAAAAATGAGCGCGATCTGTCAGACAGTTCGTTTACGGCAGCTGTTGAAACCAGTTCACCTCAGTAGGGCGTTGCGAAAAAAACAATGGAAAAAAATATTGAACAAAGAGTTTGCATCAAATTTTGTGTTTCGAACGAAATTTCGTGTGCAGAATCGTTGCGAATGCTACAAAAGGCTTATGGGGAATCAGTTTTATCGAAAACTCAAGTTTATGAGTGGTACAAAGCCTTCCAGGACGGTCGTACGACCGTCGAAGACATTTCGCAACGCACTACTGAGGTGAACTGGTTTCAACAGCTGCCGTAAACGAACTGTCTGACAGATCGAGCTCATTTTTGGCATAGTAATTAAGGACAGTGCTGCCAAACTACATAAACTTAAAATATCGAAAAATATACAGCGCGCGAATTTTAAATGAGAATTTCCGAAAACTTTTCAGTCTTAATGTATTTAAAGTGTAAAATAAATTTATTTGTGTAGTTAAAAACTGAAAAAGTGATCAAATCTAAACTATTCACACCATATAAATACTAAATCCATACTTAAATCAGATGATGTATTGCAAACGTGCATTTTAGACGAGATATAAGATAAGTAAACTTTAAATTAGTATGCAAAACATTTTTATTTTAATTAGATAATTAAAAAAATTTTTTTAAATAATTAAATATTGCATAATATCACACTATTCAAACTATTTAGATACTTCAACTAATATACGGTATATAAAAAAAGAGTTTAAAATTAAATACATTAACGGCGTAAAGTCTAATAACGACAGCTTCAAATATAATTTCTTGACTCTCTTTTTAGACGTGCGTACATACGAGTATTTACTTCTATTTATGTTTTGACTAGGAAGAAAGGGCTTTAATCTTATTCCATCATTTTGTCAAATTAACCCACATTTAATTCAACTGTTATGTTCTATAGATCGCTTATCCCACATATGCTTCTTTATATCGCAGAAACGTGGGTGCAATCACAGAACGATGAAGTAGTACTGACAGTGTTCGAAAGAAGAGTTCTACGAGTTGGATGGACTATCGAATTCAAATGAAACACGATTCTTACGCGCTTTATCACAAAATTGACATAATTCAATGATTTACCTTACAGCGGTTTCATCGATTTTATCATGTCGTAGGGATGGATGACGTGTTTCAGCAAAAAAAGTGCTTGAAGCGACAGACAGACAGTGTAATAAGACGTAGCGATGGACTGTTTCTCCGGTTGAGTGCTCAAGTTAAGAAGGCATTAAATACGCCTGATGTAAGAGACCACATAAGTTATGAAAATAGCAGAGGGACCTGGAGAGGAATATCAGATCAAAACTCAATAAATGGTTGTTATAGTGAGATAATTATGTAAGTAAATAGGTTTAATTTAATTAATTATAAAAAATTATATACTTTAATCTACTCGAACATACTCAAATTTGATTACCCTTTCAAACAGGAGTGAGTATATTCCTGAAATAATACCATCCTGTCATAAAATTAAGTAAAATTGATTAGGTACCACAGTGTCTCATTGTTTAGTACAACTGATAGCAAGTAGCTTCTACTTACGACACCCCACCAGAAGTAGTTTCTGATATGTTCCAACTGCTCTTAACATTAGTTATCCTAGACACTACGTTAACTTCATAAGGGAATATCATGGTGGCTGTAGTTAAGATCTGAAACTATGCAAGTGGAGTATTACCATTTATTCTTTTACTAAATTCAAGTTTCGTTTTTTGAATCGAGTGCTGTAATACAAGAACAATAAAGATCTAAATGAGCCTCGCTCCTCACAAAGGTAGAAGTCATATCCAAAACTTATTAAATTAAAACCTATTAAAACTCTAATTGATACTGTGGAATTTTCTCTCCAATGGCGGCATATCAGTGCAATATCTTAATATATGTGTTAAGCCCTCATGGCACGTAACCATGTAAAATAACTACGGACTCATACTCGAATTAGAACATTAAGATCAATCTTTTTTGATGTTTAATTGTACTCCAAGTGCTCGAGTACAAACATACTGAAACATCAAAATGTTCAAAGCTTTGATCAGCCTGAATAATATTTGCAGTTCTTTCCTTTACATAAAGAGAGTCTTCTCATGAATGTGGGACATCATTAAAAGATTTTTTTAATAATTAATAAATTAGTAAAAATACAATAAAAATTTATTGATAAATATAATATTAATGAAGGGCTGAACTGACATGTCTTCTAGATAGTAAGTACTTAAAATATTTTAAGGTTAGAACTCAATTTCATCTCAATATAATTATGTATCTAAAACCATTTCATTCAATAAATTTTACTGGATTGCACTGAAATTTGAAATTCACACCTTTCACATGATGTGTATCTTTTATAAGCAATTAATATAAAGTCAACTCAGTTTAAATATGGTTGTTCTTTAAGATACAATGAAACGATCGTGTTCACTTGTTGTTAAAAACCCCACACATTTGATTAAACAGAAACTTTCCTTAAAAAGATATTTAATTTGTTTTTAATAAGCAACAACGAAAATTAACTAAAATTGAGTTGCAATTTATTTGGTTAAGTATTTGACCCACTGATGTCATAGTCAATCTTTGTTTCATATCTAGATACTTTGTTTTAGATACTATTTAGTATTATTTCAAGCAGTTAACTATTTTATTGGTTTATTATTATTTAATATTTTTTCTTTCAGTAACATTACCACTTTATACTTTATTCATATATTATATATTATTTTTATTATTAAATTATTATTAGTATTAAAGCAGTTCTTTCGATTTCTTTTTGCATAATACCATATCTCTCAAGATGTTTTAAACTGGAATGTTTTTATTATTATATTTATTTATTTCTTCTTTTTTTTATATTTTTTTATATAAGAAATTGTTAGTTTATGAAATATTTAAATGTTTGGGTTATGCAACCAAAAATTTACACAAACGAAATTATACTGAGATACATCGACTTCAATATAATCATATATGCAATATGTAATATGGATTTTAAATATATACAAAAGACTTTTAATTTACATAACAAATTTTATTTGAAATCTTTTTTTTATTTCTGAAATGCAAATTTTTTTTTGAATCAATAATTAATTAAATTTAAAATATTTTTTTAATATTATTTTTTAAATAACAGGTTTGAGTATCTAAAAACTCTCCGTATTCGTAATAAACAAAAAATTTAAGTTAGAAATAATAAACCAAATTTCTTTATGCAATAGCGTTGACTGACAACTGAAATATTGTTAAAAAAATTTTTAATTAATTATAAATAAATAAGAATAAAAACAAAAGAAGAAACTCGTTCTGAAAAGCACTCTACAAAGAGCATTTAAGTTTTAAGATTGGTGCTTGGTGTACTACAGAATATATAGTCTATCTGCAAAATAAAAACCTTTTTTAGTAATAGTATAATGTACTTTAGGGTTGTTAATGGGTTTCATTACAGGTCATTATGGTCTGCAATATCACCTTTATAAACTACAATTATCTGCTAATTCGGAATGCAGATTATGCCTCGAAGATGAGGAAACTACTAGGCATATTTTTTGTGACTGTCCAGCTTTAATAACGAGCAGAAGAAACTTGTTTCATATGGAGCTTCTGTCATCAGAACAGATTAAGAGCTCTTCTCTAGATTTAGTTCTGGACATTGTTCATAAAACTTTAAGTGGCTTAGTGTGATCAATAGTGAAATTGGTACAATTGGACTCTACTGGCTGCAGTACCGGCTGTTGCGCGATTTCACGTCTAAACTATTAATAATAATAATAATAGTATAAAAAAATCAAGGTTCAAAAATTACAACGGGTGTATATATCAATAGATTAAAAATATTGATATAATATAATATATTACCTAATCAATAGATTAGGTCGTAATTAATATTTTTTGCGTTTGTTTCTTAAACACTCACAAGCTTTGTTGTCATAAATGTAAATAGCAAATGAATTAATTTCGAATAAGTGAATGTTTGCAAATAAAAGAGAGAGTGAAAAAAAAAATCTAAACGCAAGTCATATGAACACTAACAAGTCAATAAACTAGCCAATGCAAGCTAAGAGGCTTGCTGAAGATTTCTAAATCTTATCAACAAAATCC